GTTATGTTATGTTATGTCCATTTACAATTTGCCTAGCTCGTTGGCCGTTGAGCGGTTGCAAGTGCGACTGACGGGCAAGGGGTCTCGGGGTCAATTCCCCGGGTCGGGCAAAGTATTACTGGGATTTTGAAAAATTCTCAGTAGTAGCACGGAGTTTGGAATTGTGCCCGGTATATGGCAATAGGCTCACCCCCTATTACATGGGACTCATAACATAAATAGTGAAAAGTGGGTGTTACTTTGTACAGTGGCATAATGTGCATCTCTGCCTACTCCTTCAGGGATAAAAAGCGTGATGTTATGTTATGTTATGTCCATTTACAATTTGATAAAAAATATTTCTTTTTATTCATCAATTTTATAAAAAATTATGCCAAAGGCCAAATGAGCCAAAATAACAACTGTTTAATTTGCAACCCAACACAAATTCTACAGCAAGTTGCTTGTTAAATATTTTCTAATGCCACATGTGATCTAATTCCGATAATTCCTATCCCTTATCTAATTAAAAAAGTTATTCCCCTTCCATTCTTCGTTATAATTCAGCCGTGTGTTACAAAGGATTCCTAGAGTTTCAATTAAGGCAAGCGGTTTCGTTAATCTCGGTTTAAACGTAAGTTTAAAGTTGTAGCGTGCCACCCGACCAAAGGTATTGGGTGTGAAGAGCCTTTTGAAGTTGCCCTTATTGACTTATTTGTATAATGTATTGGTTTAATTGTTTTAATTTGTTTCATTGTGGTTGGATCAGAATTACGGGAATTATTCATCAATTTGATTGTAACATTTAATTTAAATTAATGTAATGTAAATTAATTACGAGCAAAAATAAATAGACATCATTCTTTTCTTTTTTATTTTAGTCATACAATTCATATCCATTCACTCTATCTGAAATAATTAACACAGACACTGATAGTTGACAAAACTATCAACACAGTTTGCACCTACTCACCAACAGATGGCGTTACCAACAAGTCCTGACTAAATTGCCTTCAAAAACGAAATGACATCAGACTCCTACAAACATACAGAAATATGTAAGTACACACAGCAATTATTTAAGTACACGATAAAATTTCTCGCGCGAAAAAAGGTATGCAGCTATATTTTAATGCATTCTTGGAGGTAAGGTGCGGTAGCGTGGGCAGCATCACAATTAGGTTTGATAATAAAAACCACGTTAATCTGATGTTGGTGTAACAGAGATAAATGTATTTTTGTTTTATTTTTACTGTTGTAGGTGTTTAAAGCTGCCTTTAAGCCGAATAATGTTGTTTGAGGAATTAGCAGCGCATTACTTCAATTTGTAGATGTAAAATGTTAGACGCTTGTAGAACAGAATAGGGATGACGACGGGGTATGAATATTAAAAATGTAATTAGTCCGTAAGTTAGGTAATGAAAGAATATTAGACACGTACTTTTTATTTTATCGTACAATAAAATAATACTTAGATAAAACGAATCAAAGTTTAGGAGTGGGGGCTAAAACGTCATTTCTACGTATAAGTACAAAGAAGTGACGTCACGCGACATTTCAAATCAATATATTGTCGAAAGTATTCGTTTCTGTAAGAATAAATATACGTGTATAATGTTTTAAAATAATCTACCAGACGGACATTAAAATAAAGCTTAGGCAGTTTTTGAAATTCATCTTTATCTAATAAGCAGAAGTTGTCATATACAACTTTCGATAACATTGAAAGACTATCTAGTTGATATGTTTAACAATATTACTTTGTATAACTCACTGTGATAATTACTTTAACAGTGAATTTTCGGAACAATAATGATCTCAACATCTTGAAAACTGACTGTGAACAGAGTGTGACTATGATAATGATATAAAAATATTTCCGATATTTACGAATAAATTTTCATATTAACACACTAGCTTACAATGCAGCATCAATGGGAGCAAATAATGAAGGAAGAAGTTTTTTTTTTCCAATCACAGCAGCTGTCACATATTGAACCACCAATGGCATGGCACTAGCTAATACCCTATTGGAAGAAGAACGAAAGGTACATACTAACGTCATCTGTTGAGCAAAAATACGGTAAACCCCATTGGTTCCATAAACAAATTACTATAAACTACTCTTCATTACATAAACGCATTTTCCAATGAGCAATGTTTCCACACGAAATATTGTGACGGATGCGCTTACGCATTAAATAGGCATGAAATGCAACGCTATGCTACGGGTATTTAAGCATTTGACTTTAAAGGTCTCGAATCAGATGCAGGTGTGGGCAAGAGGTCACGTGCTTTGTTCAAACACGGTTTATAATGAAATAATTCGTGGGGATGCGCCTGCGCCGCGATCGAAGCGATAAGGAGCTTCGTGTGTTGATGTGACGCGAGATTGGAGTGTTTTTGATGTGATATGATTTATTTTATTTACTGAATTGTTTCCATTTTTTTAAAATATTAGTTTTTATGCAAAAGTTCTGGACAATTATTGTGTTTGTCTTTCATTTTGATTATTTAGGGATAGAGAAGAGAATGCAGTTTTTTTCTACATATAATTAATACGGGGTTTTTATCCATCAGGATACGTCAATCCCATGAATGCAGATTTAATGATAAGTCAAGGCAAGTTTTTGTTGAACTGTTACACAAAAAGTAACACATTATTAAAATCAAATTAAATCATTCTGATGGTATATAAATGATATTTAGAACCTATTGAAAGCCTTTAATTCTACACTTCCATACATTGTTCTGGAGAACACGCACAATGTAACATTGCGCACAAATAATAACTACACGGAGCTCTTAGCTGACTAAACACGAGCCTGCACCCAATCTACAAACATTACTAGGGAACGAAACCTCAAAACTAAATTACAGAAACTCAATAATGGACTGTACAAGCAATAATCTTTGAAATCACAAATCAAGTTGTAAGCTGAACGCTTTCATGAGCACCGTAGGCGGTTCACCGGTCGCTTCCAGCCATTACCAATGACATACAGACCTGGAGAACGAATAGCTCACGGATCACGAGTGCCCACAGCCGCCTGAAGATATCTGTTATAGAATATTTTGATGTGATAGAAGCGTGGGTAAGTGTGGATTTGTGTGGAGTTTATTAGTGGTGCGGGGTGATTGTGTGTCAGATTGCTAGTCTGTTCAAAGAGGTGAAAGGATCTATGGTCTTCAACGCAGTTCCTGAATTGGGCAAAAATATCATCATCACATTTCCGAAAGTATTCGTATGGGCTAGCTATAAAACAATGTTCAAGTAGTATCTTAGAAATTAGATTCACTGTTACATTCAAGCTGTTTGCAGTTTTTCCTAATTCCAAACTTTTCAGTTGCACATTTGAGAGTACTTGTGGTGGAATTACTTCGCTGGAATATTAGGTTAGAAAAATAAATAACAATCAAGTGTGATGTTTTAACAACATCATAAATATTCGTCTATTAACACAGTAGTTAACATTTAATCGTCACGTTTATTGTTCTGTGGTTTGTTAACTGTAGGTATGTATTTTAACGTATGACACATTTCTATAAATACTGATTTTATTGACATAATACTGATCACAATATTGTTATCGGCATTAATTAATTTAGTAATCATAACATAACATTGTCCCTGAAGGGGTAGGCAGTTCATTACGGCACTTAAAGCAACTGTACAATGTAACACCCATTTTTTATTATTTATGTGATGAGTCCCATGTAATAAAACATCTCCCCAATTCCTGAATCTCCAACGATCCTCAAACTCCTAATCCTCAAAAGGCCGGTAACGCACTTATAACGCCTCTGGTGTTCCAGGTCCATGGGCGACGTCGATTACTTACCATCAGGTCTGATCCGTCCGCTCGGTTAACGGTAAGCCGTGGCATAAGTGCCATAAAAAAATAGGATGTGAACGTATTGCCATATACCGGGCACAATCACAGAGTTTTTTTTAAACCCAGTAAGACTTTGCCTGACCCAGGACCAGGAATCGAACCCGAGACTCCTTGCCCGGCACTTGCGACCACTCGGCCAACGAGGCGATTGGTAATCAAACCACAAAAAGAGTATGTAGGGGCATTACCATATAATTTTCAAAAACAATCCGGAAATGTATGTTCACTTTGAGCATTCTGATCCGTTTACCAAACAAATTCGTTTCACAACCAAAGTAGCTGTATGTATCAAATATTACCAACAGCTTGGAACTGTCAAAATAGCTAAAATATACGCCGTTTTATTAACACCGGACACAACAATTGCTGGGCAAAGTGTGGGATTCCTTACTTCTGTAGTTTATTGGACGGGAGACGGCGCGTGGGCTTGGGACTCTCGGTGGTCCAATATCTCCATACTAATTATTATTACTCATGGACACTGGAACAGTAGTTGCTTGAAGTTCTGTCATATTTATGGGGTATTTCTTACATTTTTATTGTAGAAAGCATTTTATTTCTCTGTTATATTGGAAACTCTTTCTGTCTTGGGACACTCATTTTAATAATTTTTAATATGAACAAAGTAAGTAGGGTAAGTCAATGTGGTTATAATAAGCTACATACACCCACTATCTGCATACTAACCGTGACAGACAACAAATTAAAAATTGAAAATTACGTCCATAATCGAAAAATTCTTTTGAAGACTCCAAGAATAGAACCTACCGAGGTGGAAAGAAACAAAAAGAAATAAAATTAAACATATATTAACTAAGAAATACCCAACTAAACAGCATAAGTAAAATTAAGTTGAAATATAGGTAACAAGAAAACTCACTATATAAAAATAAGTACCGCTAACAATGGAATACAATATAACTCAAAACCTACATCATGTTGATATTCTGATATTCCTGTTTATCTATCCCAGCAGACAGTAGTTCCAGGAGTTCCCTCTCTTGAGTTTCTTTTAAACCGTTCATTAATTCAGCAGTTGTCATTCTTTCTTCAATCGGCTCCGGCGGGGGAAGGCCTAGCGTGTAATAGGCCCTTCGGACTTGCCCAGTAGTCACCCAGCCACGACCAGAGGGATCAAAACTATTGACAACTGCTTGTAAGTGTCTGAAAAGTAATATAATTTAGATTATTATTGAGGTTTGCAACTTTTGAATTGCTGGTTCTAAATGCAATCAGTATTACTAAACTCGATGCTTTTATTTCAAGGGAAGAACAGAATTGAAAAGCTTGATAAATAAGTGCCAATCACTATACAATGGACAGCCCTAAGATTTTGGAGTCCTTTGAAAGTATGTCAAAGTAGGTATACAGTAATCAGCCGATTAGTCGAGTATCTACAGAAAAAAAATCTAATGATAAATTACCTGTGTTCAAATAAAACAGGAGCATTGCCGATTCCGGCACGGAATACCATACATTCATCTAGAAGATCTTTGACGTAAGCAACTGGATTGTTGGTATTGCTGGCTAGGACCTTAGCCATTATGAACCTTACGAGCTCAGGAATACGGCGTTCGCGCAAATAATTTTCTGTCCTTGTGACTGTAGAAAATATCTTCTGTTTGCGTAATGGTACTTCTGTTTCTTTAGGAGAGTCACCGTCGCTCAACAAGCATCGGCACACGGATATTGCATCTGGTGTTGAAGGAGAATCAAGTTTGATAGGAGATGGAAAGTTCAATGAATTTCGTTCGGCAGTCATATTGTCTTCCATGTCTTCTACAACTTAAGTAATAAATACTTAATAAACTCCGTGTAAATAAATATAAAAACGATTCATGGATAACGTTCGCTTCTTACTTTTATGGATCATTTTGACAGTTCAATTTTGGATGTTGTTTTTTCATCTTTTGACAACTTTATTTTTTGTTAAGAATTTTGTTTCATGATATTAACGAAAGAGTTTCACTTTTATTAAAAGACCTCTTTCTATTACTTCTTTAGAAGTGAACCAAGAAGTTTTTAGTATTTAGTTATTTGTATTATAAGTTGTGTATATTTATTCATACTACAAAGTGAACAAACATTTCCTACCAATATTATAATGAATAATGCCTTCATATCGCACAATGAACTATCAATAAAGATATATCAATCAATTGTTGCTAACATAGCTAGATCGGTTTAATTATTCCAATTATTGCTCGGTACCGATACCAATTATTATGAGTAGATACCAATTATTATCGGCGACAACTGGTAGCCATCCTTGGCTAGTCATTAGGACTGCCAATAGATTATTGATTGGTGCTGATTGTCCGTCCGTATGTGCGTATATAACTGGGGTCATTTGCATGAATCTCAGCTGGTTTTAATGGACAATCTCAGCTAATTGTATGTATAGAATAGTATAGACTATTTTTTTGATTCTATTTTAAGCTATAGCGTGTGTTCTGGCAGTATGTGTTTTCAATATAGGTTGGTATTTCTGGGAATATTATTAGGGAGACTGTTAAAAAATGTCTCTATAGCTTTATTACACAAAAAAGTTCACGGTGTGCAATGAGTAACCACTTATTCCATTTAGCAAACTTCATGTACAGATATACATACCTATATAGGCAAGATTAATTAATAGGTATGTGTGATTATTTGGTTCTTAAACACAGTAGATAATCAAGTGATGTGATATTTTGAAGTTTTTAGCAAAGAGTGTTGCATATTTCTTTTTCTATTTAAACATCATTCACTACATATCAGATATGTAATTTTTATACTTGACCTTTTAAAATTAAATAAAATTGGAAAATAGACGAGAACGTTTATCATAAACTGATCGCCATGACACTTATCAAACTTAACTAGTACTTATTACCAAATACGGCGACCATTTTGCATTAAAAATTTAAAACTGGCAGATCTGAGAAGCAATTTCGCCTTATTTTAATAAGACACACCTTTAAAGCACAAAACCAACTTCAGAAAAAATGTGACATAGTTGTTTAAAGCAAATAGATAGAATGCCATCGAATTAATTATCTTGTGCGTGCTAAAATCCAATATGGCTGCTGTGAAAGTTTGTCAACTCTGTGCAATTAGTGTTCGTTTACAAATTGTTCGGTTCGGTCGTGATGACAAGTGATTCAAATTGCGGATAATTGATCGCCAATGAGTCCACTAACTCACATGACTGTGGCAAGTAATGAGCAATGTCATCTGACAATTGAATACTTGTTTCATATTCACCTATGTTGCGTAGTGATGTGTTAATTAATGTGGATTGGAAAGGAAATTTGTGTCAAAATTATTTAAAAGGCCGATTGGTTAACGGTAATACGGACACTATGAATTGACGAAGTGTCTTTACATTACAGCACCTACAACTAATTTACAAGCGTATGGTAAGCCCGCAGCGTGTAGCGAGTGCGCTTCACCACAGATGGGGTCCAATAGGGCTAATGCTGATACGGAGCCGTGTAGGACTTAACGGGTTGCCGGGGCTCCGGCTCGAAGTGCAAGATTGGGAACGGGGTGGTTTTTAGTCAGTAAGAGTCTGACACTCCCTCCCGCCTCACCCAGGCGGGAGAAGTCATTCGATGATTTTCTCCCCTCAACAAAAAGGGTAAGCCTACAGTTTCAAAATTCAGACATGATTTGAGACTAAAGAATTTTAAAATCTAAACCCAACACTACTTAAAACTTCGGGTGGGTAAACTAGTCGAAGCAATTAGTTTTTTAGACCTTCTATTCTATTTAATTATCATCATCTTCATCAACAGCCTGTAAATGCCCACTGCTGAGCAAAGCCTCTTCTCACATGGAGAAGGTTTTGGGCATTAACCACCACGCTTGCTCAATGTGGATTGTCGATTAAACTGTCAAACACCAACCGGTCACCGGTGACCGCAACCTATTGTTCTATAATTGTGTCTATAATGACGGTACTCGACGAGTTAAAAACTTATAATTAGAAATTATAAGCCCAGGTTTCCTCACGATGTTTTCCTTCACCGTTTGTCAGTGGTATCCAGATAATCTTAGAAAGTAAATATAACTCGGGAAAAGTCACATTGGTACTAGCCGTTGGTAGGTTTCGAACCCGCACACTCATGCATGAGAAGCGGACGTCTTAAATATCCGGGCCTGATGGCCCGACATCATAACTCTTTTCATTACTTATATAAATGGAGTTTAGTATGTACCTCGTCAAATCTTCCCAAAGCTATTCGAATCTGTAGCCCTTTCTAACTAGAGCGCTGACGTCAGCAAAAAGATTGACGTCACAATCTAAATTGTCTATTAAGTGTAACATCTCTATTGATATTTGTCTAGTTATGTCGAGCATTGAACTATCTTTAGTACCATTCCTTACTAACTGGTAAGTCGTGATTTCGATTACAATTACCCAAATTTAATATCCAAAAAGATCTTATTACATAACATAATATCACGCCTTTTATCCCCGAAGGGGTAGGCAGAGGTGCACATTATGGCACTATACAATGTAACACCCACTTTTCGCTATTTATGTTGTGAGTCCAATGTAATAGGGCGTGAGCCTATTGCCCCTATAGGATCTTATAAATTACCTTTAACGAAGCTCCTAATTTATATATCTCTATATTTGTATATTTTTTATTTATTTATTATGAAAACCAAAACTGTCAATATTTTATGTGAATAACAAAGATTAAGGTTTCTCCTTTTATTAGATTTTGTGAACATACGAACAGACTTAACAAAAATTAATACAATAAAAATAAGGACAAGCAATGACCTATTTTATCAGTTGCAAAGACAAGTCTTGGTGCTTATTTTTTACAGATCTATACAGCTGTGAGTGAATAAAGTCTGTACATACATAGAAAAGAACAGACAACAGACCAAAATGTCTTAGAAAACTATGGATTCCTTTTACTGCTATATTTTCTATAAGTATTTTGATTTGACTTTACAATTTTATTTCCAGATTGATGAACCTGTTTCTAGGCCATGAAATAACGATCTAATATTTGTTTTTAAGCAGTTTTCCAAAACAATTATTTGTTGAAGACTGTTCCTTGGTTACCTACGACTAATCGAGGAATTGACAAATAAATTATGGAATACTCCGATAAATGTTCTAGACTTGACAATATTGTTTATTTTAGAAATTAGTACAGCAAAGTTTGGTGTTCATTATTGTCCTTGAGTCAATATTAAAGTTCAGTGGTCAATGTCCATTCATACTAATGCCATACAATGTAGATATATACATAGTTTGTTTGTCTGAGTGTGAGGTATAACATAAAATCACGCCTTTTATCCCCGAAGGGGTAGCCAGAGGTGCACATTACGGTTCTTAATGCCACTGTATAATGTAACACCCACTTATAACTACTTATGTAATGAGTCCCATGTAACGTACCTGATTTATAGGGAGTGAGCCTATTGCCATATACCGGGTACAATTTCAGACTCCGTGCTACTACTGAGTTTTTTTTAAAACCCAGTAATACTTTACCCGACCCGGGAATCGAACCCGAGACCCCTTGCCCCGCACTTGCGACCACTTGGCCAACGAGGTAGTATGAGGTATATACCTACACTCCGTAGTCATCTCTTCGTCCCCGACTGGGAGCGTGAGGTTGCACAAACCAGGCCGATGCCTGTTTCGGTGGTGTCCGGTCGCAGCCTGCGACTGCAAGCGAGGGGTTGGAGTAGTCGGGCCCCTTGCGGAGCCCGATGCAGTGTCGATGGGTATACCTATACCTAATTAAACAAATCAGAATACTTACGGGTGATTGCAAATAGATACGTAATGAAGTAACTAATAAAATGTGGATTTGCCCGAAAAACTAGTCTCTCCAAGGCTGGTGCCTTGGAGAGACTAGATGTCGCCTACAGCATCCTCAAAATTGTTCTACATTTCTGCGATGTCCAAATCGCCTATATATCAATTTTAGGTTTTATTGCAATATAACCTAAAAAACATGGTACATATACTATAGTGACGTCATACTCGACTCGACTCAACTCGGTTGTAAATTCCAATCATTTCTATGAAACCGAAAAACGAGGTTAGTATTACAAAATATTAATTCTTTCATATCTATGTAGGTATAATGCCTGCCAAAGTAGAATAGATGTCGAATGGAAGCGCTTATTTTGTAATGTTAGTCTATATTTAATATTGTTTTAACAAAGAGAATTATTATTTTTATTCTTCTAGTATTTTTTTTCAAAATAAGGTTTGGGCAATGACCTCGACTGGAGTCAGCAGACTTTAAATATTTTTTCACTAGCCATTTTTGCGTATCTTAGTTTCTAAACTTATTTATTTATGTATTTCAGGTTCATGAAGAGGACTGCCGTATAGGAAATATTGGGCTCAGTTCCCAGTAAATTCAAATTTTAGATTGATTCTGCGTTTCTTGACTCCTAATTACGAAATAACTAGTCCGATAGATTGATGAAACAATAGAAATCGTTTTTGAAATTTCATTAAATTTTACTTGTTAATAAATAAAAACAGTTTTAAATCCGCCAATCATAAACTCAGAATTCAAATATTCTTTATAATGATGCTATAAAAACGAATAATCGTTCCATAACGTCCGGCATTCAATACTGACGCCTTAAGTAATGAAATTGGGGCTTATGTTTATTATATTATTTTACGCCGAAAAATTACTAATGTTATGAAAAAATGCCCGGTTTCTGGACGCCCCATCAATTTAGATTAGTGAGGTAATAGCCTGCCGTAGTTACTTAGCGCAGTAGCCACCCCTGTACGAAGGAAATCTATGTAAAAGTTCAGCTATAAGACAATTTCAAGCCTATTATGAGTTACCATGGACGTCTTAGCTAGAACTAATGGTTTTGATACTTGACACATTAAATCACACAAATATTATA